TACGGGAAAATCAAAATTTCGGGTCAATGGGGGGTCCCCCCCGATTTCGTTCAAAATCGGCACACAGGTGCCCCACCACCAGCCGAGAAACTTTCCCCAAAACGGTCCCCGTTGCATTGACGTTTAAGGCCCGTAAAGCCCCCTAGACTCGTAAAATATCCGTAAAATCGCCTTTGTACGGACAAAAAAGTGGTGCTATGGTAAAAATGGGTATCAATCGAAAGCTCTCGTTTACCCAGATACAGTCCTGCAGGAAAGTTCCACTTTTTCCCCATAGGAAAGTTTTTACGGGAAAATCAAAATTTCGGGTCAATGGGGGGTCTCCCCCGATTTCGTTCAAAATCGGCACACAGGTGCCCCACCACCAGCCGAGAAACTTTCCCCAAAACGGTCCCCGTTGCATTGACGTTTAAGGCCCTTAAAGCCCCGTAAACTCGTAAAAAATCCGTAAATTCGCCCTTGTACGGCCAAAAACGGGGCGCTAGGGTAAAAATGGGTATCAATCGAAAGCTCTCGTTTACCCAGACACAGTCCTCCAGGAAAAGTCCACTTTTTCTCCATAGGAAAGTTTTTACGGGAAAATCAAAATTTTGGGTCAATGGGGGGTCCCCCCCCCCCGATTTCGTTCAAAATCGGCACACAGGTGCCCCACCACCAGCCGAGAAACTTTCCCCAAAACGGTCCCCGTTGCATTGACGTTTAAGGCCCGTAAAGCCCCCTAGACTCGTAAAATATCCGTAAAATCGCCTTTGTACGGACAAAAAAGTGGTGCTATGGTAAAAATGGGTATCAATCGAAAGCTCACGTTTACCCAGATACAGTCCTGCAGGAAAATTCCACTTTTTCCCCATAGGAAAGTTTTTACGGGAAAATCAAAATTTTGGGTCAATGGGGGGTCCCCCCCCCGATTTCGTTCAAAATCGGCACACAGGTGCCCCACCACCAGCCGAGAAACTTTCCCCAAAACGGTCCCCGTTGCATTGACGTTTAAGGCCCGTAAAGCCCCCTAGACTCGTAAAATATCCGTAAAATCGCCTTTGTACGGACAAAAAAGTGGTGCTATGGTAAAAATGGGTATCAATCGAAAGCTCTCGTTTACCCAGATACAGTCCTGCAGGAAAATTCCACTTTTTTCCCATAGGAAAGTTTTTACGGGAAAATCAAAATTTTGGGTCAATGGGGGGGTCCCCCCGATTTCGTTCAAAATCGGGAAAAAAGTGGAATTTTCCTGCAGGACTGTGTCTGGGTAAACGAGAGCTTTCGATTGATACCCATTTTCACCCTAGCGCCCCGTTTTTGGCCGTACAAGGGCGAATTTACGGATTTTTTACGAGTTTACGGGGCTTTAAGGGCCTTAAACGTCAATGCAACGGGGACCGTTTTGGGGAAAGTTTCTCTGCTGGTGGTGGGGCACCTGTGTGCCGATTTTGAACGAAATCGGGGGGGACCCCCCATTGACCCAAAATTTTGATTTTCCCGTAAAAACTTTCCTATGGGAAAAAAGTGGAATTTTCCTGCAGGACTGTATCTGGGTAAACGAGAGCTTTCGATTGATACCCATTTTTACCCTAGCGCCCCGTTTTTGGCCGTACAAGGGCGAATTTACGGATTTTTTACGAGTTTACGGGGCTTTAAGGGCCTTAAACGTCAATGCAACGGGGACCGTTTTGGGGAAAGTTTCTCGGCTGGTGGTGGGGCACCTGTGTGCCGATTTTGAACGAAATCGGGGGGGGACCCCCCATTGACCCAAAATTTTGATTTTCCCGTAAAAACTTTCCTATGGGGAAAAAGTGGAATTTTCCTGCAGGACTGTATCTGGGTAAACGAGAGCTTTCGATTGATACCCATTTTTACCATAGCACCACTTTTTTGTCCGTACAAAGGCGATTTTACGGATATTTTACGAGTCTAGGGGGCTTTACGGGCCTTAAACGTCAATGCAACGGGGACCGTTTTGGGGAAAGTTTCTCGGCTGGTGGTGGGGCACCTGTGTGCCGATTTTGAACGAAATCGGGGGGACCCCCCATTGACCCGAAATTTTGATTTTCCCGTAAAAACTTTCCTATGGGGAAAAAGTGGAATTTTCCTGCAGGACTGTATCTGGGTAAACGAGAGCTTTCGATTGATACCCATTTTTACCATAGCACCACTTTTTTGTCCGTACAAGGGCGAATTTACGGATATTTTACGAGTCTAGGGGGCTTTACGGGCCTTAAACGTCAATGCAACGGGGACCGTTTTGGGGAAAGTTTCTCGGCTGGTGGTGGGGCACCTGTGTGCCGATTTTGAACGAAATCGGGGGGGACCCCCCATTGACCCGAAATTTTGATTTTCCCGTAAAAACTTTCCTATGGGGAAAAAGTGGAATTTTCCTGCAGGACTGTATCTGGGTAAACGAGAGCTTTCGATTGATACCCATTTTTACCATAGCACCACTTTTTTGTCCGTACAAAGGCGATTTTACGGATATTTTACGAGTCTAGGGGGCTTTACGGGCCTTAAACGGCAATGCAACGGGGACCGTTTTGGGGAAAGTTTCTCGGCTGGTGGTGGGGCACCTGTGTGCCGATTTTGAACGAAATCGGGGGGGATCCCCCATTGACCCGAAATTTTGATTTTCCCGTAAAAACTTTCCTATGGGAAAAAAGTGGAATTTTCCTGCAGGACTGTATCTGGGTAAACGAGAGCTTTCGATTGATACCCATTTTTACCATAGCACCACTTTTTTGTCCGTACAAAGGCGATTTTACGGATATTTTACGAGTCTAGGGATCTTTACGGGCCTTAAACGACAATGCAACGGGGACCGTTTTGGGGAAAGTTTCTCGGCTGGTGGTGGGGCACCTGTGTGCCGATTTTGAACGAAATCGGGGGGGGGACCCCCCATTGACCCGAAATTTTGATTTTCCCGTAAAAACTTTCCTATGGGGAAAAAGTGGACTTTTCCTGCAGGACTGTGTCTGGGTAAACGAGAGCTTTCGATTGATACCCATTTTTACCCTAGCGCCCCGTTTTTGGCCGTACAAGGGCGAATGTACGGATTTTTTACGAGTTTAGGGGGCTTTAAGGGCCTTAAACGTCAATGCAACGGGGACCGTTTTGGGGAAAGTTTCTCGGCTGGTGGTGGGGCACCTGTGTGCCGATTTTGAACGAAATCGGGGGGGACCCCCCATTGACCCAAAATTTTGATTTTCCCGTAAAAACTTTCCTATGGGGAAAAAGTGGAATTTTCCTGCAGGACTGTATCTGGGTAAACGAGAGCTTTCGATTGATACCCATTTTTACCATAGCACCACTTTTTTGTCCGTACAAAGGCGATTTTACGGATATTTTACGAGTCTAGGGGGCTTTACGGGCCTTAAACGTCAATGCAACGGGGACCGTTTTGGGGAAAGTTTCTCGGCTGGTGGTGGGGCACCTGTGTGCCGATTTTGAACGAAATCGGGGGGGACCCCCCATTGACCCGAAATTTTGATTTTCCCGTAAAAACTTTCCTATGGGGAAAAAGTGGACTTTTCCTGCAGGACTGTGTCTGGGTAAACGAGAGCTTTCGATTGATACCCATTTTTACCCTAGCGCCCCGTTTTTGGCCGTACAAGGGCGAATTTACGGATTTTTTACGAGTTTACGGGGCTTTAAGGGCCTTAAACGTCAATGCAACGGGGACCGTTTTGGGGAAAGTTTCTCGGCTGGTGGTGGGGCACCTGTGTGCCGATTTTGAACGAAATCGGGGGGGACCCCCCATTGACCCAAAATTTTGATTTTCCCGTAAAAACTTTCCTATGGGAAAAAAGTGGAATTTTCCTGCAGGACTGTGTCTGGGTAAACGAGAGCTTTCGATTGATACCCATTTTTACCTCTTTGTGACGTCATTTCTAGGGGAAAACGGGTCATAAAGGTTTCCCTCTACCGGGGCCTTTTTTCCCCCTACCGAATCTGTGCTGTGCTGAAGCTGTGCTGAATCTGTGCCAACTTCCGTTACATGTGCGCAAGCAGGCTTGCTGAAGCTCGTTGTGTCTTGTACTTCTATGATCTATGTCTTTGTTATGATCGGTACCCATCCCAAAAACAGATGTTTGATTGCGCCAAGTATGGAACATCTCATCAGAAACTGTCTCAAATCAAGGTGGTTGGTATCAGCCTCTAAAAGAATACCGAGTTTTCATTGGCTTATTTCTGCCATCAATACAAATGACGTCAAAGAAACACAAATACAAGAATCTAATTCGCCAAAATAAATAACGTCATAGAAAAAGCGTATGATTGTTTCTTTCAAGGAATATAAACATCGCTTATGTTTTGCTTTTGTGTCATCACTGAAGCTGTTTTGTGAAGGGGGTTGAGCGGGGGATGGTTTTGTACTTTGTTATTGGCAAATTTAATTAGAAAGACGTGTCCGCTCTTGTTCTAGCTGGGCTACGCTTTATCACAGACTTAAAAATGAATGGAAATGGAACACTCAAGTTATACTATCATCCTTTATCATTCTACTCTCACCGGGTAAGCTAAGAAAATGAATTAACTGATCATTATCAAAAGCTGCTGTATTGCCTAGTGTGAGCGCAGGCTTCACCCAGCAATGATTTCCAATTACCTGTAAAAGATGTTGTATCAATAGGTATACAAAACTAAAAAGGTGTTAGGTATGCGACAATGATCATGAATTCATGAATAAATTCTTCCGAGTTCATATTCATGCTATCAAAGTTGATGTGGCAGCAATGCAATGATCAGGTCTGCATGTGCTTAATCAGTTGGGCAAACTAGGCGGCGGGAATCAAAATATGGAGGCATCAAAATATTGATTCTAGTGGGCGGAGCTTTGACCATATATGGGCATAGAATCAATATTTTGATTCAATTTGGGACATTCCCACCTTCAGACGACCCGTTACGGCGGAAATAACCCCCATGACGGCGAGATTTTTCGACAAATCAATACAAAAAACTTCCCCGCTTCAATTTTTCGCTGCATGGCTATCAGCCGTTTGTCGCGCGTACCTTTACGAATGGCATAAAGTTTTCGCCGCCATAATTCAACAAAAACGTGCTGTTAAAACTTGCTCTGTTTATCATTAACGACGAGCCTTTGTAATTTTTTCATAATTTTGTCTAAAAGAAAATAAAAAAATGCGTTATTTAGTTGTATAATTCATTTATAAGAAATATTCTTTTTCTTTGTATCTAGCCACGATTTCCGGTTCCCGCCATTTCGCGCCGGCGTCGTGGGTGTTTGGATGCAACGTAGTGCTCCCGGTTTTATTTTGTTTAAGCGACCTTTTCTGAAGTGTAAGTAACAATGGATCATATTTTAAGATACTTTGAAGTGTGTTTTTCAATTTCAGGCATGTGATCTTAACGTTTCTTACCGAAAACTCGTTTTAAGAGATGGTTTTAGGAACATGGCGCGGTAGCGACGTCAGCGGCGCGGGACGCCTTCTCACTCTTCTATTGTCTTTTTAAGCTATATTTTTTTTGAAAATGATGTCTAAGGTGTAGTATTTCAGTGAAATATGATGTCCTTTAAAAGTTACGGTATAAATTAGTTACAAGAAGCCTAATGTTTTGTCTCACATGATAGAATTGTTGGGTGGACTCATGAAATGGGGGCAGTGCATGTCCAGTATTTTACATAATTTGGATGTTTCAGCCTCTGCTTGTGTCTCACTCACCCAATCGTTGCTACAACTTTAATTTGTAAGTGTAACAAAAGCAAGTTGCTGAATGGTGTAAGCCATATTTACATTATGCGTGATCTTCAAGAAAATTATGTGTCTAATGTACGTCAGTCCAGGGAATGCTGGATAGTTAATTTTCAGGATTGTCCATGCCAAAGTTAATTTTAGAGGCCAGTTTTATCAACGCAAATAGCTGCCTGCTGGAATTTTTTGCCTGAAGACTGCTTCACATATGGAGCGTTAACATGATGGGCATGTAAACGGATAGGGCTGTACCGTTCATGCTCTGTATGTGAAGTAACTTTAAGACAAAAAAAAATCCAGCAGCCACCTATTTTTCTGTTGGTACAACTGGCCTCAGATCTACTTTTTTGGCAGAATTTATATAACTGCATGAGATGACAGTTGTTGGCGCAACTGGTGGCGTTCAGTGGAAATTTAAGTGACATTAAGTATTTAATTTTTTTATTGAATATATTCTAAAATTAATAGTTGCTGAACAAGTAGAATAATAACACATATAGTTTCCTAATTTATTGTCCACAAATGTCCTAATTATTGTGTTCTGTTGACTGTTTGCTGCAGGTCAACCAAGGATCAAACACTGGTCGTTGCGGGGATCGGCTTCAGAGGGTCAAGGATGGCGTCTTGAATCGCTGTTCAGTCGACAGGCAACTGTATGACAACGCCATCCCTGTCAACCAGAGCGTCGACCGAAGTAGGGCGGCGTTGCGCGGACCTGGCCGCACCCGACCAACCGGTGGAGTACCTGACTCGGGCTGGGCGGAGACTACCTACATCACGACCTTTTGAACTTTGATCTCGTGGCGAGAAACAATATGACGTAAGGAAGTGTGTATGTGGCTGGCGGGGCCGAGGGTGAAATGCGCCACGTGTTTATCCTGCCGGATGACGACAGCGTCACCAACCTGTCAAAGAACGAGCTGGTGCAGCGCGTGATGACTGCTATCTCGTCCCTAGAACCGGAGTAGAAAAACGTGCGCAAAGCCCAAATGAAGCGAACCAAAACACAGACAGGACTGATAGCTTTTCGGTCGAGAATGTTCTGAAGATGCTGATCAGTAGACCATTGGTGACCGTTTTCGGTGGTAATATGGGATCTTGTGGTGTTCCAAAGCAACCTGCTTTGGGTGTGGACGTAAGTGGCTCAACCTGACAGGATTGATGTTTTAGGTAGCCGTGCTAATCATAAACCCTATATTGAGTGTATCTGTACAAATTTTGTTTATCGACAATAAATAATACGTGAAGCGTTTCAGTTTTTTGGAATAACCGCCCAAACCACACCACCTACAGACACGATTCAACCACCAATCGACAGCTCTCGATCGTGGCTATGTGCGCGGCACATTTTTAATCGCATTTGCACCCCCCAAATAGCCAAACTCGGCCCCTCGACTATGTCGCCCGACGCTCCAGAGATGGCGCTGACTGTCTGCGTGACGTCAGCTCACACGACCGGCGATCGCCAATCATAAAACGTGCATGTCGCCGCTGGACAACCAATTCCAGCGTACTGTCTTGCTTTTGCCCTCTTGTTCTGAAAATTTGGTCAAGAAACATGGCGTATAACCTTCATTTAAAACCAAATTTGCTCCCAATCACTTCGCCGTAAAACACCGCAATACGCACCAGACCATGTCATCAAGCCGTGCAGAGTACCAGGGCTTATTCAAAGTAATGACACTTGCGTCCTTGATGGCTCAGCTGGTAGAGTGGTGGACTTCTGGGGTGTGGGTCGCTGGTTCGAATCCAGCTCGGGATGTTTTTAAAACGTACTTCCATCTTTAGTTGCAGTACCCGGCCGCTAGGGTCGCGACCCCGTAGAGGTCGCTGCGGTCCTCACGTGACCGACCGGCCGCAGTCACGGGCCGGCGGCGGCGCAGTGTGGGGCGAGCGGGCGGAGGGGTTGGTGCGGTAACTGCGGTGCCGTCAGAGCGGCCGCTGCCGGACAGCGGGAATGCGGCATGATACAGACATGGGAAGGGTAAATGGTATTTGGATGGTTAAAGAAATGATGGAGGGAGAGGGAAGGGTAAGTGACTAAGTGAGCAAATGATTGAGTCGGTGAGAGAACAAGTACAGAGGATGGAGCCGAAAGACGTTTTTAAAATGCACTTACAGCTTAGTTGCAGCACCCGGCCGCTACGAATACCTACATTACCGATCCTGAGTGGCGGGCGGGGGGGGGGGGGCGAGGTATCCAGATTTGGGATAGGTTGGTTACAGAATTCCACAAAATACTGACAAGATTATCGACTATGTTTAGTGGGGATGGGGAAGGACACAGGGAAGGGCACGGGGACAGGACGGAGACGAAGACGGAGACGGAGATGTAGTGGCCAGCAGGAGCGGGGACGGAGACGGAGACAAAGAGAGCGGGAGCGGGAGCGCGGGAACGGGGACGGAGACGGCGACGGAATCGGAGACCAAACAGAGACAGAGACAGAGACGAGACAGAGACAGAGGCGGAGACGGAGATGAAGCGGTCAGCGGGAGGGAGATGAAGACGGGGACGGAGAAAGAGAGCGGGAGCGGGAGCGGGAATGGGAGCTGGGACGGGAACTGGGACGGAAATTGGGATGGAATCCGAGACGAGACAGATACAGAGACAAAGGCAGAGAGGGAAGACGGAGACGGAAACAGAGCAGGAATAATTATATATTTAGCACTGAGAACATTACCGATCGTGAGTGGTGGGTCCCGGGGGCGGGGGGGGGGGTGCAGAGGGAGGAAGGCGGGGGAGGGTCATTACCGATCTGAGTCACTCAGATTTGGGATAGGTTAGTTACAAAATTCCACAAAATACTGAAAAAGTAGCGATCATGTTTAGTATTACGAGCGTACCAATATACGTATAGCGTCTTGAACTGGGACATAAAAACGTATATGTATCTGCGGCGCGGGCGGGGAAGAAGCCACTAGCCAGTACTTTTTTCAGTACCAAGAGGGGATTGGAGTGGAGGGGAGAGGACAGGAAGGGAGGGAGTGGAGGGAAGGGGAGGAAATCGAGGGAGGGAGGGAGGGAGGGAGGGGGGAGCGAAGAAGTGCGATGAAGGAGACGGGGAGAGGAGGGAGAGAGACGGATGGGGAGGGGTAAGTAAGCATACGATTGGATCAGTGATCGACAAAGTCAGAGAGCGGAGAGGAGAGAGGGAAGAGGGATGGAGGCAGGGAGAGAAAGAGAAAGGGAAAGGAAGAGAGAGAGAGAGAGAGAGAGAGAGAGAGAGAGAGAGAGAGAGAGAGAGAGAGAGAGAGAGAGAGAGAGAGAGAGAGAGAGAGAGAGAGAGAGAGAGAGAGAGAGAGAGAGAGAGAGAGAGAGAGAGAGAGAGAAGCGGGCATTATGGACGGGACGGGCAGGGATTTCTATATATGTAGATGTTCAAACGACGATTAGCGCCGGTAGGCGCGGGAGGGTGACCTTGGACGGGCAGGGATTTCTATATAGATGTTCAAACCACAGTGTATATAAATAGTTCAAACGACGATTAGCGCCGGTAGGCGCGGGAGGGTGACCTAGGACGGGCAGGCATTTCTATATAGATGTTCAAACCACAGTGTATATAAATAGTTCAAACGACGATTAGCGCCGGTAGGCGCGGGAGGGTGACCTAGTAGGTATTTATTTCATGTATTTGGTTCGAAACCGAAAATTGCTCTCAGTAATTAGGCAACATCGAGACGTTGAGGTCATTCTCCAGACGTTTATTTGTTTTTTCTTACCTGTCCACGGTATGTCTTATTGGTTAGGTCTCAGTTTCAAATATTATTAACTGCATGTTTTGCAAATACGTAGCCATATTGAATAAGAGACGTGTCCTAAAAGTGAGTATTGCTTTGCATGGGATGTGAGCATCAACGACAGGGCTTTGTGATGGCAAATATGCGGCAATTGCAGGGATCGTTGTGAAATGTGTTATGAATATCATCGTATTATTTGCGACTGCAAATACATCCGTGTATCATATTTTCATTCAAATTGTGCAATGTGTGCAACGGGCTGAGTGTATAGTTCGGCGAAATATCTCTTACTGTACTCCACAGAAATGGGACGGGATACAGATGCGTAGAAACACATTCATGAACACGTGAAAGACGATATGTTAATTTTTTTTACTCAAAATCAATACTACAAAGCAGGGATGTGGAGCCGTGAAAATGTCAGACGGCTTCGGCTCCGGAGGAAAAAAATCGGCTCCAGCTCCGGCTCCGGCTCCGAGTAAAATGGTCGGGCTTCGGTTCCGGCTCCGACTCAGTACAACCTCTATACAAAGGTCAGCACGGCTCCCTTCACGCATTCCCTCGAAGGCTTGCAGCTTTGAGCAGGGAGCCAGGGTGAGTGCTGAAAATCCCTGGTCCACTGGCGGTCGCAGCCGCTAGCAAAAGGGGGGGGGGGGGGGGCCAAAGTCACACTCGCGGGACATAACATTTGTCATTTATCCGTCACCGAGAGGGGGGGGGGGGTGATCGGCTATTTTTTTTACGTCCACGAGGCGCCGCACAGTTGGCATTACTTTGCTTCATCCATCTCATTCTTGCGTGAAATCTTTGAGCTCAATTTAAGGCAAAATCACCAGTTCCATTTACTAGTGATGTCAATTACTCAAAATCGGAATACCGATACCAAACCAAATACCAAACAAAACCGTGGAGAAATACCAAAACCAAACCAACTTGGAAACATGAGGAAAATACCAACTTTTTACCGATTTCTTAGCCTCTTAAACATAAGCAAGGGTTCATGATACCAACAAAATACCAAACACATTAGGATTGAAATACCAAATACCGAGTTGGTATCGGTTTGGTATCGGTATCCCAAAAAGTTGGTATCCGATTGACATCTCTACCATTTACCGTCTCACGGTGTGCCCACCGGTCGGGCCGCTGCACCATGACGACGGATCGGTGTAGCATAGGTATACTGGAAGGTCAGGCACGCGGATTCATGATCTTACCACTATAAAACAATTCGGAAAAGTACAGATACATACCTCTTGCTAAAAAGTACAGATACCTCTTGCTTTGAACCAGCATGTGAAACCCAGAGAACATTTTTAGACTATGACATTTACCCATATAGGTACCTAGTTGTGTGGCGGCGGGAGAGAGTAGGTACACCGACCTTTGGAGACCCCCACAGGTTCCGAGCTTTCAGAATCGGCATCTGAGGGCCGCGCGCGACTCCTGCGGGGCTTCGCAACGGCTCTGTTGGGGCTCACTCAACCTGCCTAGTCCTACTGCTAAAAAGACTGGCCCTGAGCCCTAAGGACTTCATCAGTCTCTGCCAGCCCCAGGACCCACACCGGCTCATGGGGTCCCGACGTCGAAATATGAGGGAATCAGCGCGGGACCATCAGGACGTAAAGCAATCTCGATCAGGACCAACGTAAGGCTGTGCCGGAGACAGCGTGAGCCCTCTGATCTTCAGAAACCCACCCATGTATGTTTTCATGTAGAGGCCAGTTTAGGGCCCTCAGAGACCAGTACAGGGCCTGCAAACTACAAAGGCCAGTGGTTTGATACCATCAGAGACCGAGTTGGGCTCTCAGAGGCTAATGTGGGTCCTTCCTTACTCATTACAGGCCAACATGGGCCCTCAGAGGTCAGCGTGGGGCCCTAAAAGACCGGCATGAGCCGTCGTTGGACCCCAGAGGCCAGCAGAGGGCCCTCAAAGGCCAAGATGGGCCCTCCTCAGAGGCCAATGCAGACCCTTAGAGGGCCGTATCGGGTCTTCAGCAGCCAGTGCGGGGCCCTTATTGGCACCTAAAGGTTCGTCTTGGGACACCAGAGACAGAAATAAGGCCACCAGAGACCGGTGTGAGACCCTCAGACGCCGGTTGGGACCCCTGAGGCCGGTTAGGGGCCCTCATAGGCCAGATGTGGGGCCTCAGAGGTTGATGTAGGCTCTTAGCGGTCAACGTGGGCGCTTGACCGCCACTGAAGTTCCCTCAGAGGTCAGTGTAGGACGCTCAAAGACCGGTGTGGGAGCTATATTTATAGCTTGGCGTGGTTCTGTTAGCCTCGTGACGATCGAATAATTGCCAGGGCCCCATACACGTATATGGGGGCCAATTGGTTGTTTGGGGGGGGGTCAAATGATATGATGGCCCCCTTTATTGACCTTTGGGGGCATGTCCCTGATGCCCCCCCCCCCCGGCCCCCCGCGAGTCGCGACCGCCACTGTGTACACATTACACACATGCCTCTGAGATTACATACTAGCTCAGGCAAACTCTATGCAGGCCCCGAAGGTCCCACGCTAATCCTTAAGAAACCAAGCCGGCATACGGCATCACCACCGGGCTTCCGAGGTGCACAGCACCAACCCATGAGGTCTTTAGTGTCCTGGAGCCAATCTCCTTTAGCAGGGCCCACCCGCCACTGCCGAAGAGGGTCTCATGCCAGCCATTGCTGAATGCTGGGCCTACGAGAGCCTTAAGTAAACCCACGCTGATATTCCATATAAGATCCGGCCATACTCGTGAATCGGTGCCAGCGAC